AAGGCGCAAGAAGCAGGAGTTGACAACAGCGAGCCAAAAAAAATCCCCGCGGCCGAAACGAATAATTTCCACCCCCCTTGCAACACCATCAGGGCAAAACTGTCTTCCGGACGCGTGGGTGCGCCGCCCACGCGCCCTCAGACTGACGAGTACAGCCGCTTTAATCGACAGGAAGATCACCCAAGATCAGCAGTCACAAAAGGATAGGCTTACGTCAACACTACGCTGACATGCAGGAAGAAGTCCGCTTTTGATCACTGGCGAGGGGTCGCCAGCGCCCCGCGACCCGCCGCCAGCGCTGCCCCGCTATTGAACACCGCCTCGCCCCCCGCCCCCCCGCCACCCCGCTCCACGATAACCCGGCCCGCAATCGGTATCGGCTGCCTCCGTCCAGGAAATTACTATTTACAAGGCAATTTTATTTCTAAATCCCGAAGAACTCAACTCACAAAAGGACCGAGTTATTTCATCTCCATTAACTGCAGGGGGACGAGGAGATGGAGCGAGAGAATGTGTGCGCCGAACGGGAAGGAAGAGAAAAATGAAGGAGAGGTGGGGAGATGGAGAGGGACATTTGTTGTATATATATAATGTATATATATATATATATATATATATATATATATATATATATATATATATATATATATATATATATATATATTATATATATGTGTGTGTGTGTGTGTGTGTGTGTGTGTGTGTGTGTGTGTGTGTGTGTGTGTGTGTGCGTGCGCGCGCGCGTGTGTATGTGTGTTTATGTATATGTGTGTGTGTGTGTGTGTGTGTGTGTGTATGTATGTATGTATGTATGTATGTATGTATGTATGTATGTATGTATGTATGTATGTATGTATGTATGTGTGTGTGTGTGTAAACATACTTGTAAATAAATTATGCAATAAACAAACATATCCCTCAATCTATTATACACACACACACAAAATTTGTACGTAGAAAAGAGTGAAGTATAATAATGGTGATAATGTATGCAGAAAAAGGGGGAAGCATAATAACGGTGATAATAATAAGCTCATTAAGTCCCCGTAAACTCCTCGGCGGAGAAGATGGCGCCGTCCCGTCCGTCCCGTCCCGTCCCGTCCGTCCCACCTCCCTCGGAAGTCTTAGCGTTATCTCGGTCTCTGAATCCCCCCTCCCCCCTCCCCTCCCCGGAAGCCAACAGCAACCCGAGACTCCAGCGCCTTCCCTCGACTTCCCCGACGGCGCTTATCTCCCACCACACTCCCTCCCGAAGGCCCGTCACTCGGGGAACCTGTTACGCCCCCTTGGCTTCCTGGCCCCTCCCCCCGCGCCCGTGAGAGCCAGGTGCCGCACGCCCTTCAAATAGGAGCAAGTTGCATAAACCGCCGGCGACCGACCGACCGACCGACCGACAGAAAGGCTCACGGGAAACGCACACTCGTTTAAAATTACAATATGCAAGCCCCGGGTCCTAGATAAATTTTGCGCGCGATTTACACAGCCTTTGCCTCCATGGATCTTGGTTTGCATTTTGCAGCAGTCATTCGATTCGAATAAAATGCCCGGAAACAAGCCGGTGGATATGTATTGCACATTAATAAATATATAACCTAATAAATGGGAGGGAGGCGGGGGAGGGAGGGAGGGAGGGAGAGGAAGCGAGGAAGGGAGGGAGGGAGAGAAGGAGAGAGGGAGGAGAGAGGGAAGGAGGGAGGGAGAGAGAGGGAAGGAGGGGAGAGAGAGAGGGAAGGAGGGAGGGAGAGGAGAGAGGAAGGAGGAGGGAGGGAGGGAAGGAGGAGGGAGGGAGAGAGGGAAGGGAGGAGGGGAGGAGGGAGAGAGAGAGGGAGGGAGGAGGGAGAGAGAGAGAGAAAGAGAGAAAGAGAGAAAGAGAGAAAGAGAGAGAGAGAGAGAGAGAGAGAGAGAGAGAGAGAGAGAGAGAGAGAGAGAGAGAGAGAGAGAGAGAGAGAGAGAGAGAGAGGAGAGAGAGAAAGCGAGAGAGGGAAGAAAGAGAGAGGGCGAGAAGAGAAGCGAGAGAGAGAGGGAAGAAGGGAGAGGGCGACAGAGAGAGAGAAAGAAATATACGGAGTGGGAAAGGAAGATTTTTTTCAAGAAACATTTCAAGGCCATAAACCTGAGATAACGTTCCCGCCTTAATGCTGCCCAAATGTGCCACAACAAAGACACGATGACAAAAAAAGGATAAAGGGAGCAGCAAGGTCATTATCATCAACTATAGAAGGAAAATAACGAGGATTTTCTCTTAAGCTGCGGCTCTATGGACTCACGATCTTTCGCGGAGAAGGGAGATGGAGAAAAAACGAGATGTGAGAGGGAGGGGGGGGGGAGAGAAGGAGGGAGGAGGGAGGGAGGGAGGAGAGGGAGGAGGGAGAAGAAGGAGAAGGAGGGAGGGAGGGAGAGAGAGAAGGAGGGAGAGGGAGGGGAGGAGGGGAGGGAGGGAGAGGGAGAGGGAGAGGGAGAGGGAGAAAGAAGAGGAGAGAGAGAGAGAAGAGAGAGAGAGAGAGAGAGAGAGAGAGAGAGAGAGAGAGAGAGAGAGAGGAGAGAGAGAGAGAGAGAGAGGAGAGAGAGAGAGAGAGAGAGAGAGAGAGAGAGAGAGAGAGAGAGAGAGAGAGAGGGAGAGAGAGAGAGAGAGAGAGAGAGAAAGTGTAAGTGTGAGTGAGAGTGTGTGTGTGGTGGAGAGGGGGAAGAATATGTTAATAAAGTCCCACGCGTCTCATTGCCTTTGTATCGCCAATGTGAACACAAGATAAATAACTGAGCGGATTGTAAAAGACAAATTGTTTCCACTAATAGTAGACCATTGGCAGAGGCAATTCGCGTCTGTGGGAGGGAAACAAGGGAAGGGCGGAGGAAGGCAAAGAGAGAGAGAAACAAAGCGAAGAGGGAGAGGCAATGAATGAATAAAAGGGCGAGAGAGAGAGAGAGAGAGAGAGATAAAAGAATCGCAATGTAATCAATATTCCATATATATGCGCATAGTTAACACATCTGCTCACAGCCATCGCTTCCAGCAAACCCAGTTTTAAAAAAGAGATCAAAGCTATAAAAGACCATTCAAACCAAAAGAAAAAATGAAAGAAAACAAACGACGGGAATCCCACAACAACAAATAAAAAGCAAAATATGCATACACATCCCAGAGGCATATTCCCCTGCATGACACATTCAGATGCTCGACTCAATTAGCCTGCAAAAGTTCTCGTCAAACCCCTCTAACGAGTCTCAGAAGCAAAAGGACGCCGTGCGCACACAAAGGCCATGCAACGCCGCTGCCCTCCCTCCTTCCCTCCCTCCCTCCTTCGCTGCATCACCCCTTCACCCTCCTCCCTCCTATTACAAAACGCACAGACACATGAACGGCAACACAAACAATAACAAACACACAACCACACAACTTTCCACTCATCTCGGTTTCATGACGGGAGGAAACAAGGTAGGCAAGGGAGGAAACGAGATAGAGATAGATAGATGGAGAGAGAGAGAGGGAGGGGAGGAGAGGGGGAGGGAGGGAGGGAGGGGGGAGGAGAGGGAGAGGGAGAGGGAGGGAGGAGGGAAGAGGGAGGGAGAAAGAGAGGGAGGGAGAGAGAGAGAGAGAGAG